TTTTTTTTTTTTTTTTTTTGAATTTCAAATAATTTCTCAAAAATTTTATGTTTACTTATTTTAATATGTTACTTTTTACTTGTACAATTTTCCAGTCGTATATTATAATAAATTTTCTGATTCGTATATTATATTTTTTTTCTATTTTCCTCTCAATAAATTTCTCTCCCCAAATCATAAAAACTTAGTCGCCTGTCTTCCTCCATCGTCTTGTGCCTCCTCCATACGGGTATTCACGGTCCGCATTGGTTCGGTTTTAGTCCAAACCATGACCAAATCGGACCTAACGGTTAATTTTTTATTTTTTTTTTGTGAAAATATCTATTTTCACCTCGTTTTGAAATCTTTATAAGTTTTTCACACTGCCCAATAAAAATGATACGGAAGAGACGACACAAAATTTGAGGGTGAAAATCATCTCAATCGGATCATTCAAAATTACAAAACCATGAATATATATATACAAAATTAGGGTTACGGTTACCTAAAGAGAACCTAAGGCTAATATAGTAATTACACAAATATACACAATAACACCCTCCCTCAAGTTGGAGCATGCGGATTTCGAATGCCCAACTTGCCAAGAAAGAAGTCAAATTCGCGTTTCCCAAGTGCCTTGGTGAAGATGTCAGCGAGTTGTTCCCCAGAAGGAACATGAGTAGTAGAAATGAGGCCCTGAAGAACAACATCTCGAACAAAGTGACAATCCACCTCAATGTGCTTAGTCCGCTCGTGAAAAACTGGATTTGTCGCAATATGCAGTGCAGACTGACTGTCACAATGTAACTGCATAGGCTGAGAGTGAGCGACACCAAGAGTAGATAATAGTCTCCGCAACCACTTCAACTCGCGCAATGTAGTAGCCATCCCCCGATATTCAGCCTCAGCAGAAGAGCGTGCGACAGTAGGTTGTTTCTTGGTTCGCCAAGAAACAAGAGACTGACCGAGCTGAATAAACCAACCAAAAAGAGAGCGCCGAGTGAGAGGGCAAGACGCCCAATCCGAATCACACCATGCATAGAGTTGAAGATCGCGGTCAGTACGGAGATGAATCCCCTGACCAGGAGAGCTTTTCAAATATCGAACCACACGCAGAGCAGAGTCCCAGTGAGCCTGACGCGGTTGATGCATAAATTGAGAGAGCATATTCACAGAATAAGACAGCTCAGGTCGAGTTACTGCCAGATAGATAAGACGTCCGACTAAACGACGATATCGCTCGGGATCAGACAATAGATCACCCTCAGCAAGAGGTAGCTGATGATTCTGCTCTAATGGAAAATCAACTGGCTTGCTCCCTAGTAATCCGACCTCAGCTATGATGTCAAGAGCATACTTCCGCTGACAGAGAAAGAATCCAAAAGAATTCCGGGCAACCTCGATACCCAAAAAATACTTAAGCAATCCAAGATCTTTCATGTGAAAACAACGACTCAAGTAACTCTTGAAGGCCTCAATGGATGTGGTGTCATTCCCGGAAACAATCAAGTCATCAACATAGATCAGAACCTGCAGATGGACAGAACCACGATGCAGTGTAAAAAGAGAGTAATCATGATAGGATTGACAAAAACCATACTGCTTCAAAGCCGTAGTCAACTTGGCAAACCAGCAGCGGGGGCCTGTTTCAAGCCATAGAGGGAACGGCGAAGACGACAAACTTGCCCATCAACGCCAGAACGAAAACCAGGAGGAAACTTCATGTAAACTTCCTCAGCCAAATCACCATGAAGAAAAGCATTGTGAACATCCATCTTGTGAACTTCCCAATGCTTAGCAGCAGCCACAACCAAGAATAACCGGACTGTAACCATTTTGGCGACGGGAGCAAATGTCTCGTGATAGTCAATACCTTCCACCTGATTATTGCCTAAAATCACCAGACGCGCTTTATAGCGCTCAACGGACCGTCAGACTTGTGCTTGATCTTAAAGACCCACTTGCACCCAATCGCACGCTTCCCAGATGGAAGAGAAACTACATCCCACGTGCCATTATTCTCCAAGGCACGAATCTCATCCTGCATAGCGGCTCGCCATCGAGGATCAGTCACGGCATCAGCAAAAGTGCGAGGCTCAACAGCAGAGGCGATAGCAGCCAAAAAAGCTCGATGAGTTGGAGAGAATGAATCACAAGAAACATAATGTGCTATGAGATAAGGTGTACCGGAGGATGGAGACGACTGAGAAGAAACAGTGAGGGGTTCACTCGAGGGCCGGACAGTGTCAACCACAAAGTCCTTCAGTCGAGTGGAAGGAACTTTAGTCCGATGACCACGACCCAAGGGCTCTACTGGAAGAGTGGGAGGGGTAGTGGTAACGGAACCCCCCATATCGTCAGACGTGTCCATATCAGTAGCAGAAGACCCAGTATCAAGAGAAACATGAGGCAAAGGAACAACCGGAAGATCCTCATCATCATTCGACGTAGAAGAAACGGGCACAATAAGAGGCGGTGGCAAAGAATCTGGATCAGACGAGTCTGACTGGTATGGGAATTCAGCCTCAAGAAACTCTACATCACGAGAGACAAAGAATGTCTGACGATCCAAATCATACAAACTCCACCCCTTTTTGCCAAAAGGATAACCAACAAATAGACAACGACGACTCCGAGCAGCAAACTTGTCACCATTACGATCTTGGTTATAAGCATAACACAGGCAACCAAAAACCCGCAAATGAGACAAAGAAGGAGTCGAACCATAAAGAATCTCATATGGGGTTTTACCGTGTAAAACTGAGGAAGGAGTCCGATTTATCAGATAGACCGCAGTCAAAACACAATGACCCCAAAAAGGAAGAGGCAGATGAGCCTGAAATCGTAAAGCACGAGCTACATTGAGGATATGCTGATGTTTGCGTTCAACACGTCCATTCTGCTGAGGGGTGCCTACGCAAGAAGTTTCATGCAGAATCCCTTGACGACGAAAATAAGAGGTCAAACACATGAACTCACTTCCATTATCAGTACGAATAACACGTACCGATTTATCAAATTGTCGCTTAATCATAGACAAAAAATTCAGCAATGTAGAAGCAACTTCCGTCTTATCATTTAATAAATAAACCCATGTCCCACGAGAACAATCATCCACAATAGTCAAAAAATACCGTGCACCACAGAAGGACGGAACACGATACGGACCCCACAGATCACAATGAATCAAATGAAATATCTCATGACTAACAGTCTGACTGAGAGGAAAACTACGACGATGTTGTTTAGCACGGAAACAAGCATCACATGATTTATGCAAATTACGAGAACTCGAATCAATAACGGGAACCTGGGACAATACTGGAGCAGACGGATGTCCTAGACATTGATGCCACACAACGGGAGAAACCTTTCGAACACATGAAACTGCAGTAGAAACCGACTCTCGAAAGAAGTAGAGACCACCCAACTGCTCACCCGCGCCAATCACCTTCTGCGAATTGCGGTCCCGAATAACACAGAATTTGCTAGTAAACTGAGCGGTGCAGTCGGAATGATCCAACAACTGATATAATGAAATCAAGCTACACCGAAGGCTGGGAACGTACAAAACATCATAAAGAGCTATATGAGATCCCAAATAAACAGTCCCTGCCTTGCTAGCAATTGTCAAGGAACCATTAGGCAATTGAACATGGCGTGCGGGAATATCCCGAACATCAGAAATAAACTCCAGGAACCCTGCAATATGATGAGTTGCCCCACAGTCGTACATCCAATCAAATAAACCACGTGTGCCAGACAAGGGATTCAAAACTCCACTAGCAGTGGAAGAACCAACAGAACCGGCAACAAACGAATCACAGATACCACTAGAGAAAGCCGCATTTGCTCGAGCACCACTCTTGCCGCGAGCTCCACGACATCGGCCACCACCAAAATTACAAGCACGACCACCACTAGAATCGAACCATTCCGGATACCCAATAATCTCAAAACAAGTAGCAGCAACATGACCAATTCGACCACAATGAGAACACGTGGAACGGTCACCAACACGGTGGCTAGCAAGTTTGGCACTACCTTCGGCCGCAGCGGACACAACCAATGTCGAAGAATATGCCATTGAAGGAGAGAATAATTACAACTGGAAGAGCAATGACGGCCAGACGGGACGGGGATGCAAGAGAACTTAGTCGGGACAGTGAACAAGAGTTGTTGCTGCTGGAAGCAATCAATTGCAACAAGAGATTTTTTTTTTATTATTATTTTTTTTTTGGCGGACAGAAATTGGGGCGATCAAACAACACCAAAATTGGGAATGAGCTGCTGTGTGCTTCAGTCTATCGCACAATCATTTTTTTTTTTTTTG